AGAGAGAGAGAGAGAGAGAGAGAGAGAGAGAGAGAGAGAGAGAGAGAGAGAGTGCTCTGGAGCCCCCAGGCCCCATACAAGCATTCAGGTCAGGAATACCTTTAATAGGCAGTGCTTATTTCTTTTTCTCCCTTCCTAGAATTAGAATGGAAGCCAGGCATGGGAGGAAGATTGTGAATTTGAGGCTAGCCTGGGCTACCTGGCAAGGCACCGTGTCAAAAACAGGATAGAATCAAACACACAGTAAAAAGGGGAAGTGTTCAAAGTGGCTTTCCCCTGTGAAGACAGTTTCCTACCTTCACTTAGGTTCCTAGGAAGTTCACCCTCCAACCCTCCTCAGTCATACCTCACTCAAACCTTACTAGATGGGGCTTGAAGTCTGTTCCTCTGCTGTGCCTGACCGAGGAGCACTTTGATACATCTCTTTTGGAAGATTGGGGTGCAAATTCCAGTAGGGACACTGAAGTGTTCAGATAAATGTCCTCTTTGGTGATTCTCTCACTGCTGGAGAGCAAGTCTAGGGCCTTTTGTATGCTAAGCAAGTGCCACCTAGCCACATCCCCACCCCTACCCTCTTCTTCTGTACATCATAGAGCCTAGACTTTAAAGGACTGGGCAAGGAGAGAGGAGAAGTCATTTCAACACCTCCTAAGATGTGGCTGTGGCTCATCATTTAGAAGAATCAGCAGACTGCAAGCTGAGGGCTCCTACCCAGATACTCAGCCGCCTCTCTCAAGGGTAGCCTGGAGCAAGCATTTCTCTCTAGGAATTCTAAGGATTTTACTATCAGAACTCAGAGTTGGATGAAGGGATGGAAGGTAGCCGAGAGACATAACAGGCACTGTGCACCTAGTTTGTGCCTCCTGTGGACACTAGTTAAGGTCCCCAAAGATGAAGGCTGACAGTGTGGAGGTGAGGGGGTAGGCAGGCGGGCTTTCCTAATGCTGCTCAGTAGAAGAGTGCAATGTGTCTCTCCTTGGAATTTCCTTAAACTGACCTGACATTCGGAGAAAAAATACCATCAGAAGAAAACTCAAAACAATCAGGTCTATTTAGACAAAGCAGAAAATTAATCGTTATATAGCCCAGAAAAAAAAATGTCATTGGCAATTACTGTCTGTTAATCTCAGACCAGAGTTAGTCAGTGCCTCCTTGGCATGCTGAAGTGTTTATTTTGCTAAAGATTTAAGTCATCTTGTGTTTAACAAGACTATGATAATCCCTTCTGTTTAACTTTTTAAATTTAATCTTGGTTACCCAGTCCCCCAGGAAACAGTGTGGGGGATATTCCTGTAGTCAACCTGTCTTAGCTTAGTTTTTTCCTAAAGTCTTAAGGACAGTGCCAGCCCTGGGTGGGCCTATTTCTTCTCTCCCCCTCAACCCCCCCCCCAGACATCTGAGGAGAGAGTGGGAAAGAAGCCAAGGAAGACCATGAAGGTACAAGAGGCCGCCTGAATGGGAATGAAGTTTCAGCTCCTTAGTTCTCGAACCCCTGCTTTAAAATCAGGTCATGGTCTAGAGTTCTGGAGCTTGCATTTCTGTTTTCTTGTTGCTTTAGGTCTGTTTTTTTTTTGTTTTTTGTTTTTTGAGCAGAAAATTTAGAAGATTCAGATAGTCTGAGGACCAAAGTAACAGGCTAACCTATGCTTTCACCTTCAATAATCGTTTGCATAGAAGGTTGAGGATGGCTATTTTCACATTCTGATTGTCCGAGGCCACCATGATCTCTGGACAGACTCCTTCCCAGCCCCACCCTTTCTGGATTGATAGTGAAGGGCTTTTTGTATCTCTAATTACTATTACATAATGATAGCCACAGGTTGAGAAGTAGGGGCTCCCCAGCTTGTTCTTTCTATGGGGTTAACCACAGCTCCTCCCCTTTTCCAGCAGTCATTTCAGCTGTGGTCGCCCACTCTGTGGAGGGCAGATCTGGGGGACCTTTCTTGAGACAGGGGGATGGAAACGATAGTTTTAAGGAAGAAAGTACTTTGGTCTCTTCTAGAAAAGTGGGACAACTTCATCCAAGTCACAGTGAAGTCATTTTGGGGTGCCCCCAAAACACTCCACTCCCTCCAGACCCCCCTCCTTGGCTCCCCGACTCCCTCTGATGCCCTGGCGGGGGGAGGCAGGCTGCTACTTACACTGGTTGGGTATATGGTGGGCAGCGGCAGCAGCAGCAGCGGTACACAGATAACCAATAGCAGCTTTCTTGCTTGGAGAAGGCCCTGCAGCAAGCCCATGGTGGACCTGTCTGGGTTGAGTTCTCGATGGTTTCTCCTCTGCTCCTCCACGCTATGCTCCGCTCTCAGTCCAGGAAGACTCCTCACAACTTCCTTGGCTTCCACAAGTCAGACCTCTTTGGTCTTTGGAGCAGCAAAGCAGGGTGGCTGTACCCAGTTTCCACGGAAGGCTGGGCTCCTTGCCTTCTGCCTTAGGTGGGATGGAGCAGCATAGTGTTATGGCCATGGAAAAGGAGCTGGAGAAGGGTTTATATGCCGGGGGCGGTGGGTTCTCGCTCCCTGGTTAACAAGAGGGTGGCTTCATTCTAGGTGTCAGCAAAAGCCCTCACAAGCAGTGTGCTTGCGGCTGGTGATCAGCCTCGAAGAACCATTGAAGGCTTAAAAAAAAAAAAAAAAAAAAGTTGCTTTTCTTCTTTCTGATGACCAGTTTGGAGGCAGCTGCTGTTTCACCTCCGACCTGATTGTTGGTAAAATTCTGGTAGCCCCTTCCCCTAAAGCAAGCACCCGTGTTAGCCTGAGGCACCTGTAGACCTCAGACTGGAGTTGGGTGGGGGTGGGGGTGGGGCTGTGTCCCAGGACCTGACACCTTAACTCTGTTTAGATTTCTTTCCTTCAAATTGGGCTCCTAGTTAGAGTTTTCCTGGAGTCTGGACTTCCAAAGCAGGCGTGAAGAATCTCCAGGGCATTCCTTTTTTGTTGCAGGACTAAAACCTGCTGGAGGCCCACCTTTAACTTTCCTGCACCAATGGGAAACAGGCACAGGGCAGTCGTTCCGCCCATTCCTCAAAGCCTATCAGCAAGTTGAAAAGAATGAGCCAATGTCGCATCTGAAGGCAGCCCTTGATTGGTCACAGCAGGGGCCTGCTGATTTGGCAGAACCCAGGCGGCTTTCGAAGCTTGTTTTTCCATTTCTCAAACGTCCCAGGGGCTGGATGTTGGTCAGCACCCTGAGCATAATCCCACCTCCCCAAGCACTGCTGCGCTGTTTCCAAGCATGGGCCCCAGGTTTCCCGGGAGAATCACTTGCTCACCACCTGGGGAGGAAGACACATTTGGTGGCAGGGAATATGGACATTCATTCTGGACTGAACAGTATTAAGACTTCCCCTCAGGCAAAGTTTGCTTCTTGGACACTTGGGGGTTAGAAAGGTCAGAGCCAGCAGGAAGAGCGAGCCTGGAGGAAAATACCCTGGGATGCATCGGGAGAGGGGAGGCTCCCCTCCCTTCTGGAAAAGTCTAGATGCCAGTCTGAGTGGGTGTTCATGAAGCTCTCTGAGTCCCTTTACCAAGGAGGAGGCAGGCCCTTTACCAACAAGGAGGCAGGCGGACGTCCTTGATGGAGACACAGGGTAGAGAATGCAGTACCATGCCGGTGATGGAACAAGGCTCATCAATAGTTAGAACCGGGATTTCTCCTGCTTACAGATTTGGACAAATAATTAGCCTTTTTTTTTTTTTCCATTGTTCAGAAAGGACACATAGATTTGGAACAAGATGAAAAAGAGAAAGGAAAGACCCTAACCTCTTCTACCAGATGGTTCTTGACTGGATTTCCTTGATCTGGGAGATACAGAGCCAGGATTTGTGAGCACTCACAGGATTTGAGCACCTTGTAAGATCTGTAGCCAAGCCCGTTGAAGTGATCCCTGGACTAAAAGTAGAGTGCCCAGAGGTGACCCCCACAAAACCAGTTCTCCTTGACTGTCAGGGCCAGTGAAACTACTGACAGATCTTTGAAGTCATCTAGCCATTGTATGATGTCTGATGAGTCATCTCTACCTGCATGTCAAACACGGGCTAGTTCATCTACTCCATCCTTGCCTCATTTTTGTGACAGTTTGGAAATGCAGAATAAACAAGACCACATGCTTGTGGTGTTTTGCTTACAGAGCTGAGAGGGATTGGATAATACTAAACAGCTGTAGAAATCAACATCTGTCAAATCCGGGAGCCGCTTCAAATTCCTCCATGAGATAATCTGAGGTGACAAAGATTCCAGTGAGTTTAGTAACAAGGTTGGGCCATTTGCATTACACCATAGGTGAAACTTGTTGAATAAAATGAAGCAAGGCAAGTTGCATGTTAGGGCCAGTAGTTCCCCTGGTCTATCAGTTTCCCACATGAAGAAAAACTCTTCCCAGAATATAGTGCTAAGGAGTACAGGATAGATTCCAGATGAAGAAGGTATCCAAAGTAGGTCAAACTCTCAAAATATTTATTTTGCATTTTTGAGACAGAGTCTCACTCTCTAGGCCAGGATGGCTTGGAACTCATTATATAGCCCAGGCTGACCTCCAACTCACGGGGATCCTCCAGTAGCAGCCTCCTGAGTGCTGAGAATACAGGTGTGAGCCCCCACCCCCTGATAAAGTAGTCAGGCTCTCATGAAAAAGTAGAACAGTTGCCAAGATGTGGGGAGAGACAGGAAGAGAATTGTTCAAAAGTTGCAGAGTCACAGTTCATCAAGATGGAAACCTTTCAGAGGGCGGTCACACATCAATGTGTAACGGGCTGCTAACATGGCTCGGTGGCAGAGCACTTGCCCAGTGGGCAGGTGGTCCTGGGATTGAACCTTGCACCCTCACCCCACCCCCTCACCCAAAACCAAAACAAAACAAAAGAAAAAAAGACTAAGAAAGCATTGTGCAGATACATGAGAGTTAGGATATGTCAACACAGCTCTGATGGCAAGTTCATGTTGTGTTTTTTTTTTTTTTTAAACTACAAAAAAAGGAGGATATGCAATGTATTAAGACAGGCTAGGAAGTAGGGGGCATTACAAAGTCACTTAGCTGGCATTATGTTTCATAGCAGTTCACTTGGTGACATGCTTTTGACCCAACGATTCCAGATGTGGCTCCTTCATGAGATTCAGGTGAGGTGACTGAGCAACACAGCATCAGCTGTGATAGGTTTGTCATTGTAACACCAGAGATGCAGATGGCTGCGAGCATCCCAGCTGCACGGGAAGCTTGCAGACAGTGTGGAAATGACAGGCGAGTCTCCCCAGCAAATTTCATGCCCCAAAACTCTGTGAGCAAATATGATTGCTGTGTGTAGGATGGGCACTAAGGAGGCAAAACAGGAAGGTGTGTTTTTAACCTGTCTCCTCTGAGCCAAGTGTGGGGTTATTATTTGTGTGTGGGGGTTACTTTGTTGGACATAATATTTGATTTTATGTATCAATGAAGTCAATGTTATAAACTTCTTGTGTATAAAATACATCTGTCTTCATTCAGACTAGAGTGATATCTAAGAAACTAGTTACTCCAGGCTACACTTCCACTGGAGGGATTGGGACCATGAACCAGCCATATAACCATTGATCTACAATTTGCCCTGCCTACAAGATATGCTGGAGTAAAGGTGGCACAGAAATTATGGGAGTGGCCAACCAATGGCTGGTCCAGCTTGAGACCAATACCGTGAGAGGGAGCCCACCCCTGACTCTGCCTGGAGGGCCAGGATCCAGAAGCTGGGTAGCCCAGAGACCTAGGATAGAACCAAAAACGACTGGCAAGACAAAAGTCAATGTAATGATCCCTAATGATATTCTGCTATATCATGGATTGGTGTCTAGTCCACTTGTCATCAGAGAGCGGCTCCACCCATCCAACTGATGGAAACAGATGCAGAGACCTGCAGCCAAACAGTAGGTGGGGCTTAGGCAATCCTGCAGAAGAGGGGGAGGAAGGATTGTAGGAACCAGAGGGGGCAAGGATACCACAAGAAAGCCCACAGAATCAGCTAACCTGGGCTCATAGGGGTTCACAGAGACTGACCCTCCAACCAGAGAGCTTGCATTGGACTGATCTCGTCCCTCTACATATATGTTATAGCTATGTAGCTTGGTCTTCCTGTGGGACTCCTAACAGTGGGAGTCTCTAACTCCATTACCTGTTTTTGGGACCAGTTTTTCCTACCAGGTTACCTGGGCCAGTCCAGCCTTAATAGGAGAGGGGTGCCTAGTCTTTCTGAAACTTGATATGTCTTGCAAACTGATTTACAAGGGAAGCCTGCCTTTTTCTGAAGAGAAAGGAGGAGGAATGCGGGGTGGGGTAGTGGAGGTTAGTGAGGGAGAGACTGGGAGAAGAGGAGGGAGGAAAGCAATGATCAAGCTGGGAATAATAAATGAATTAATTTAATAAAGTGACTTTAAAAAGAATCTAGTTACTTTGAAAATGAAGTCTTCATTTATCTTGAAAAGGGCATGTCCTTTTTGCATTTTTAAGCTGTTGATTGTTCATAAATTCAGGCTCCAATTTATGAATATAAAATTGCTTTTAGTGTGTGTGTGTGTGTGTGTGTGTGTGTGTGTGTGTGTGTGTTGGGTGAATGAATTACCATTAATCCCAGTGTTCCCTGGAATAGTTTTCCTCCTTATACATCTCTAGTCCCCCTTCCCCGTAAGTTGCTGCTCTTACAGCATGGTAGGCAGCCAGCCCAAAGGTGGGTCTTCCATCAGGTACAGGAATGAATTTGGTGTAGTCTCCGGGTGGGGACAAAGCTGCTCTGAGTGTTTTGCACAGTATCTAGGAGCTGAGGTATTGCTGGTTCCTTACCCACTTCACATCCAGGAGACTACACAGAGTAAAGGTCAGCCATGAATTATGGGTTCATTTCTACAAAATCCAAGCATGTCTGCATGCTGACCTTCGCTATAGCCGAAGGAAGCAAAGGAAAAGTATGCATGAAGTGAGATATTGAGAGGGAAGGAGAAGGGATACTATAAGAGGCTAGAGACATATAACCTCCCCAAAATATTCACAACTCGACCCAACTATAATAGAAGAGGAGGCAAGCAGGGCAACAGACTGTCACAGAACAAGGAATGTGCAAGTGAGAAAAATTTAGCAAAAGCAGCATCAGGGCTGAAGGAATAGCTCAGTGGGTAAGAACATTTGCTGGGCAAGCATGAAGGCTTGAGTTCAAATCTCCATTGCCCCATGTGAAAATCCAGATGTGGCCATGAACCCCAGTAACCCCAGCACTGAGGGTTGCAGATATAGGAGGATTGCTTGGATTTCTGGTAGCCAGCCTGGCTTAAGTTCAGTGAGAGACCTTGTCCCAAGGGGTTAAAGTAGAGTGAGAGAAGCAGGACACCGGACACTCTCCTCTGACCTCTGTATGCACCCCTCACATGTACATACATGCACTGAACACAAACACACACACACACACACACACACACACACACACACACAAGAGAGAGAGAGAGAGAGAGAGAGAGAGAGAGAGAGAGAGAAGGAGTGAAGGCAGGGTGGAGAAAGGCAGCATTAGAAACCGTTGGGGCTACTGTTCCGAGCAGGAGAATTTGAGGACAAAACACCATGCTTGTTCTTGGGAAGTACTTTCTTCCTGCATGCTAGCCCTTCTGCAGAGAGATCATGCAGCCAGAACATGCAGGCAAAGCTCACCTTGAAGATTTTGGGGAAGTCCAAACTCATCATGCTTAAGAGGAGATTGTAAAATACCTTTTCCGGAATGTCACCCAGCAGATGCCCTCGTTCAAATATCAGACTCTCTGCAGTGTAGGTCCCAGAATCCCGCTGAAGCCCAGGAGGAGAAAAAAGATAGTTCTTTGTTCTGGGGCAAAGCTGTCTAGGGCCCAGGTGCTTCACTTCCCACACAGGTCATCACCTATGTCTCAGCACATGTTAAGAAGCCTGGCTTATTTTGGGCCCGGCCACTCAAGAAGGATAGCTGTCAGGAGTAAGTGTATGCATCACAGTGAAAAGTATACTTTAATGACCTGGATGTCAGGGGACAGAGGATAACCCCAGGACCCCACACAGGGTGGACAGGGCTTGTCTGGGTCTTGTGTGTGAGATAGAGGGGGCAGGGACTCCACAGACACAGGTCCCTCCCCATAGAACCTCACAGTTACTAGATGACTACAGTCATTTCATGAGTAGAAGGGACCTGAGAGTCTTCTGCCTCCTTTATTAGACTGTCCTAAATAATTTAGATATCAAACAAGGGTGGAAGACATTGCATACATACCATTTAATTAATTAGTAATTATTTAATATAAATAATGAATAGATGTTGAACAAGCATTTTGAAAATAAAAAGTTCATCATTTGGAAGTAAACAATAAGACATCTGAAAGTGATTTTTATCAGGAGCACCAAAATCTCTGACAACACCATAGCATTTTAGGACAGACGAGCATGGTGTTACCACCTCTTTCGCTAGGAGGGCACTAGGTGCTTTAGCTTGGCTTCCATGTTCAAATGACAGGGCGTGGGTGGACTGACTTCTAGCACTTCCATGGGCCCTTCCTATTTCTTCTGTTTCATAATAACTTCAGAAAAGATGAGTCAAGCCATTTGTCACCACATTACTGGCTTTTTGACTGATGCTTCTCCATGGCTTTGAGGAAAACAAAGTACGTCTTTCTTGGCTAACAGTGTATTTATTTGAGTGTATCTCTGCCTTTTTAGTATTTATCATAGAACCTGCCAGAAAATATTCATTCAACACAGGTTCCTTAGAGCCAAAGGAATCTGACCACTGTCTTCCTGCTATGCCCAGACTCCACCCTCAGTCTGTACTCTTGTGTGTGTGTGTAAGTATATCTTAGACTTCTGCTCATTACCAGGTAGACCAGTTGACCTCTGGATGTATCTTGAAAGACCAATCTAGTCCTTTCTTTTAGCTTAGATAACATTATATCGTAGTTCAGAGATGTCTGTCAGAAAACAACAAGAAATGAAAGAGTATTGGGATGACTCATTTATCTTTGCTATTCTGTGTGGGCAGTACATATTTTCTTCATGGTCTCTGTACATAGAGGATGAATGTTCTGGAAGACTATGTGTGCTTGTCCCTGCTTCATGGTCCTGGCATAGGCCAGTCTCTCAGGAAGACATTCCAGGGCCTGAGGACCGCATTAAGTCATGCCTCAGGGCCTGGAAAAGGCTAATGAGGGACTGGGCCCAGATGTCCTTCTGATGCCCTTCAGACAGGGCTGTTCTGTAGGCCGCATAAGCCAGAGTCAGTGCTGTCCTTTCAAAGTCTTCTTTCTTGAGGATTCCAGGGTAGTTGGCCAGGCTGGTGCTCAGCCTGCGGATATCTGGGATGTTCTTGGGGATTATATTATTGCAGATAGAGTGGAAGTTCAAAGCCTTCCTCAGTGAAGCTAGCTCCTCATCCTTGATGGAGATCTTCAGGTCTGGGCTGATGTCGATTTCAGCCAGCAAGAGCTGTGGAGAAAGGTGGGATAAGGAAAAACACAAAGCCGGGTATTGTTAAGGTATTGTTAAGGTAGGGAGGGAGCTGTAGAAAGAGCTTAGAATCCAAGGGACCTGGGCCCCAGCTCTGACCTTCCTCATTAACCTCTCTGAACCTCACTTTTCTGTAACATGATCAGTTGCAGTATCTACTCCATTGGGATAGCAGGAGAAGCACACAAGACAAATATAGGCACATGTGACATGGTGCCCGGTGTCAGTGTCATCATTTAGTTCACTGATCCTATCTTCTCTTTTCCCTCTTACCCACTGAAGACCTTCTGAAGTATAAACTGATCATCACAGATAAAATCGTAACCAGAAGTTGGGAATTTCAAGACTGCAGAGGGTTGTGCTGGGGTTGTTGGGATACAGAGATGTCCTATCTCACGGGCTTCCAACAATAGGGGCTGTGTCTATCATCTTCATCCCTGCCCTGTTCCATGAGGAATCTAGTAAATACTCCAAGAATGGAAAGACTCCACTTCTTAAAATGTCCTCCTCTCTCTCTGCTCTCCTCTGCCTTCCGTGACACTGCTGTTTTTCTGAACCATTGATTTGTGACTCCCGTTTTTAAGGCTTGGTAGAGGCCATGCATGGCAGTTTGCTGCCCAGGGCCGGGTTTGAAATCTCCTCGCTGGCTTCACTGTGTCACCGGTGTCAAAGCTGGAAGAGACTTTCTGGTATCACACTTAAACTCCATGTAACAGTTAAGAATCAGGCTCAGAGACTCTTGACAAAAGGATAGAAGTCCAAACTTGGAAGTTAAAGCTTCTAGCACTGACCTGAACCAAGTGACCTCCAGAGACTCACCTGGTGGTTTAGAGGAGGGGAGTCTCAGGGAAGCAGGTGTAAGTGGAAGAAGGAAGCCCTTCTGGTAGTACAGGCTTCTAGAAACTTAGGTGAGTTAGTGGGACAGCCAGACAGCATCTCTGAACAGCAGGCAAAGCCTCAGAGACATGATAATGCCTGGGTCCCAATGTGGCTTTGCCAGGACACAACTGATGAGTGATGCCTGAAGATTTTGCCTTGGTGTGGTAGTGGCCCCATGAGACAAATCCCACCTTTCCTTATGCCTGGACTGAACTCCGAATACGGCCATTTATATCAGGACACATGGAAAAGGTGAGGTGGTCCCAGGAGTCCCATACTTTGGTATAGGCCAGATTTCATCACCTCCAGGAACGAGTCTAGGTTATTCCCTGCTACAGACAGACCATTCAAGTCCACGGGCCCAGGCAGACCATTCTCAGAAAAAGGGAGAAGATGTATGTGACTTAGGTCAATGGCTTTCCCTTTGCTTACCTCATAGAGGAGTTCCACATCCTCCAGGGAGGTCTGCAGGATTGGATTCAATGGCAATGACAAGGACCTCTTTGGCCGGTGGGCAGCAGGGAACAGTGCAGCTGGAAGAGACAAGAAAGTGACTTGTGGCATTGGCACAGGCATTGATCACCACTCTAGACTTAACCTTGTGGGAAGCCCTCAAGTCTATTTTGAAAGTGGTGGACATAGCTGAGGGGAGGTGACAGGCTCGTCTTGTGTCTCAGAGAGCTCCCAGGCATGTCAGACTAGTAACTCAGCAGAAGCATCCAAGACACTGGGAAACATTTATCAACCAGGGCTAAGTTTGTACTAGGAAATTTAGGTTAGAACAAAGCAGATGAGGCAAAATAGAAAAAAAGCAAGCAAATAAGAGTTCCCTAATTTGTCAAGGGAGTCCCTAAAACTATTGCCTAACACACTGCACACCCAAGTGCTTAAAACAGTCAGTGTGTAAGGGCTGCATTGCAGCCTGTGATCAGAGACTTCGGCTAAACATCTGAAGTAGAAATGCCAAGGATCTTCCCACAGATGAAAAAGGAAAGGAAGCAAACTGCTGCAAGACCTTGACACTGGGCTCTAGGGGGACCATGTGGTGGAGCTCAGAGCTTCCTACAAGGTGATTTAACAATGCATTTCCGGCACAGTCAAGGCCAGGGACACATTTGGAAGCTGGAGGGAGATGGGTGGGTTCCTGGTGGGCTGCAGGACCGAAAGCGCTAGAAACTGAGGGAGGAGTGGAGGAAAAAACAGAAAACTGTTGAACACGGAATGATTACACGAAACCCCAGTTCTTCAGGACTGGATCAAACAGCTCCCACCACCTGCTCAGCCCCTCCATGCGGCAGACGCCAGTCACAGATGGTTGGTAAGCCTATGGGTAGAAAAGGATTGTGACCTTTAGGAAACCAGGGAAAGAAATGTAAAAACCAGACGACTGTGTGGGTGGCCCTCTGAGGTTGTACAACTATACTCTTCATAGCCATCGGTGGTTACTCTGCTGCATGGTGGTAGTGCCTATGTTCCGTGCACTGAGTTCTGTTAAATGTGCTAAAGAGGGCAGGAGCGGTGTAAAGCCCTCCAGAATGATTTCCATCAGAAATGATAAAAGACGATCTGAAAGGTCTACCCTTGGAATCTCCTGCGGTGGCCGTGTGCAGCTTTGCTGAAGTGGCCTTGGCAGTAGCTTGTTTGTGGCCATTGTCACAAGTCCCTCAGGCCTGGGGTGAATGTGGCTTTGTGCTTCTGCACGCCTGTTGCCTGGAAGTAGCAAGGGAGGGTCCCAGCAGGATGTGCGGTTTTTCTGTCTTCTTTGTACCAAACGAAACATGGCTACCTGGTGTAGATCAGGGAGTGAGCTGTTTCCGTGTGCTTGTGTGTGTGCATGCATGTACACACATGCGTGATGGTGCACTTGCTTGTAAGGTCATGAGGTGGAGACCAGAGGTTGACATTTGGATATCTTCCTTAGTCAGTTCTTCACCTTTGTATTTGGAGACAGGGTCTCCCACTGAACCTGGGGCTTCTGTTTTAGCTAGATTGGCTGGCCAGGGAGCCCCAGGGCTGCTGCTGTCCCCATACCACAGCTTTGAGGTTCCATGTTCGTGCTGCCATGCCTGGCTTTGCCATGCCTGGCTTTTACATGGGTGCTGAGAATTTGAATTCAGGTCCTCACGCTTGCACAACAAGCCCCCTGCCCTCTGTCCATCTTCCCACTGTCCTTTTTATGGCTTTTCTTTTCTACCTGTGTGGAAAGATGGAGGAGCCTGACTCGAGCCAGGATCTGAGAGAAACTTCACTCCCCAACTCTCCCAGAACATCTTTCTTTTTATAATTTAGTTTTTGAGAATTTCATATGAGCCTTGTATTTACATCAGCAACTCTTCCCCTCCTCATCCAACTCTTCCCATGTTTCTCTTGGTCTCTTATTCTTTAATTATCTATCTATCTATCTATCTATCTATCTATCTATCTATCTATCTATCTATCTATCTCTGTGTGTGTATGTATACACATATATGTATATACATAAATTTGTAAACACAGCCTGCTGGGTTCATTTAGTGTTGTTCATAAGTGTTTAGAGTTGGCTTCCTAGGGTCTGCTAACCTCCTGGGGGTGGAGTCTCATCCTTGGAGAAGACCGATTCTCCCTCTCCCCCCAACCATCAATTGCCTGTAGCTCTTCTTCTGTGTGTGGAGCCTTGTGAGAATTCCCCTACCCATGTTGATATGCCAGTGTGTTGTATTTTTTTTAAACAAAGGCCTTATGGATTAAAAAAAAACTATTTACTTTTATTTTATGTGCATTGGTGTTTTGCCTGCACATTTGTCTGTGTGAGGGTGCCAGATTCCTTGGAACTGGAGTTACAGACAGTCATGAGCTGCCATGTAGGTGCTGGGAATTGAACCTGGGTCTTTTAGAAGAGCTGCTAGTGCTCTTAACTGCACAGCCATCTCTCCAGCCCCGGTGTTGTCATTTTTAAGGTCTTATTTAGGCAACCATATTGTTGAGATTTCCTGGGTGCAGTTTCCCTGTCACATATAAAAGACTGTCTTGCAGCCTCCTATCCTGGTTCTCTGGATCTTAGAATCTTTCTGTCCCTTCTTCTGAGATGTTCCTTGAGCCTTAGGTAAAGTGGTTGATATATATATATATATATATATATATATAAATATATATATATATATATATATTTGCATTTTGATCAGTTGGGACTTTCTGTAATAGTTTCTATCTACTGCAAGGAGAAGCTTCTATATATGGGGAGAGGGCTACACTTATATGTGGGGATAAGAATAAGTATTTAGAATACAGTTAGGATTATATTGCTATAGTGTGATGTCAGTAGTAGGTTCTCTTCTAGGGCCCATGCATGGCCTCACCAGTCACAAATCGCAGGCCAGGTTTACACTACCAGGCATGAATTCCTTCCTCCTGAGCAAGCCTTAGATGGTTGTTGCTTACAACCATGACAAAAGAGGCACAATGTCAACTCTAGGGAGATCTTGCCATTCTAGCCTTTGCGATTGTTCATAGGTGTAGCTGTAGCTGGGTAGGACTGTTGATTGGTTTTCTTCCTTAGCATCTTGCATAGCTTTGCCCCCTACCCGGAGAGCTCGTCCTTAGGGAGGAGGTGTCCAGGTGGGTTCCAGCTTAATTCTTCCATGTCGCCTGCCTCATCTTCTTAGGTATCTTATTTAGAATATGTGTGTGCCAGCCTGTCTTTGTGTATACCACATGCTCTCAGTGTCCAAGGAGGCCAGAAGAGGGTGTTGGATTTCCTGGAACTGGATTTATAGGCAGATGTGGCAGGCACATTATGAATGCTGGCAATGAAACCCAGGTTCTAGGATAGCGCAGCCATTGCCTTTAATTGTTGAACCATTTTTTTTCTAGTCCCAGAATATCTTTCTTATTGGAAACTTTAAAATACCCACCTTTAAATGCCCCCTTAGTGCTGTAGGCAGAGCGTCATTCTCATAAAAATATCCACCTCCAGCAGATGGAGGGGGGAAGGAACAATGTCGTGGGTTGGGGCTCTCTGTTCCCTGTCATCATGGGCTCCCTAGGTGTCCCCAGGGAAGTTACTGTAGCCTTAGGCATGGGCTTTCTTCACTCAGTCCCTTTCTGGAGGACCCATTTTTTTTATCATGCTTACTTTATTTAGGGAGCCCCTAATTCTCAGAGTCAAGGAGAATACACTTCCCCATTTGAAACTGAGCTCAATGATGGGCGCTGTCATTCCTAACAGCTGCTGTTCTCATACCTACTAGTGACACTGGTGGTAAGCAGTAGAAGCAGCCTCAGAGCCCAGTCTAGGATGGTGGTTGTGTGGAACGTGTGTGGGATGAACAAATATCTTGTTTTCCCTTTTTGTGGTGTGTGTGTGTGTGTGTGTGTGTGTGTGTATGTGTGCGTGTGAGCACATGCACATGTATGTGTTGTGTGTGTGGTGTTTGTGTGTGTGTGTAGTGTTTGTGTGTGTGTGGTGTTTGTGTGTGTGTGTGTGCTGTTTGTGTGTGTGTATGTGTGTGTAGTGTTTGTTTGTGTGTGTGTGGTGTTTGTGTGTGTGCTGTTTGTGTGTGTGTGTGTATGTGTGTGTGTGTGTGTGGTGTGGTGTGTGTATGTGTGTGGTGTTTGTGCCTGTGTGTGTATGTGTGTGTGTGTGTGTGGTGTGGTGTGTGTATGTGTGTGGTGTTTGTGCCTGTGTGTGTATGTGTGTGTGTGGTGTGTGTATGTGGTGTGTATATGTGTGTGTGTGTGGTGTTTGTGTGTATGTGGTGTTTGTGTGTGTGTGTGTGGTGTTTGTGTGTGTGTGTGTGCTGTTTGTGTGTGTGTATGTGTGTGTGTGGTGTGTGTATGTGGTGTGTATGTGTGTGGGTGGTGTTTGTGTGTGTGTGGTGGGGGTATGTGGTGGTGGTGTGGGGGTGGGGTGTGTGTGTGTGTGGGGTGTGGTGTGTGTATGTGTGGGGTGTTTGTGCCTGTGGGGGTATGTGTGTGTGTGGTGTGTGTATGTGGTGTGTATGTGTGTGTGTGGTGTTTGTGTGTGTGGGTATGTGTGGTGTTTGTGTGTGTGTGTAGTGTTTGTGTGTGGGGGGGTATGTGTGTATATGTGTGTGTATGTGTATGTGTGTGTGTATGTGTGTGTATGTGTGTATGTATGTGTGTGTGGTATGTGTGGTGTTTGTGTGTGGTGTGTGTATGTGTGGTGTGTGTATGTGATGTTTGTGTATGTGGTATGTGTGTGTGTGTATGTGGTAGTGTGTGTGTGTGGTGTGTGTGTGGTGTTTGTGTGTGTGTGGTGTGTGTATGTGGCATGTATGTGTGTGTGTGTGGCGTGTATGTGTGTGTGTGGTGTTTGTGTGTGTGTATGTGTGTATGTGTGTGTGGTGTTTGTGTGTGTATGCGTATGTGTGTGTGTGTGGTGTGTGTGTGTGTGGTGTTTGTGTGTGTGTGGTGTGTGTATGTGTGTTTGTGTGGTGTGTGGTGTGTGTGTATGTGTGTGTATGTATGTGTGTGGTGTTTGTGTGTGTGTGGTGTGTGTATGTGGTGTGTATGTGTGTGTGTGGTGTGTGGTGTG